CTCAGAGAGGCTTTTCTCCTTTCCTTCTTGTGTCAGGATGAGTGGCTGGAATTTTCCTCTCAGCTGTGCTGACACAACCCCTTCTCCTCCAGCGTGGGAGGGGAATTTGGCCCGCCGATGTTACGCGCCAACCTTAGCTCTGTATCATGACACAGAGTTTCTATGGAATCTCAGGTCACTTTGCAGGGGTTAATTCATCTTCACAACGCAGCTGCAAGGAAACTGAGGTTTTACTGTTCCTGATTTAACGAAAGGGAAACTCACACCCGGGCAGTACTTGCTTTTCCTAAGGGTGCACAGAAAACAAGCAGCGGATGGGGCCTGGGAGGGAACCCGGGCACCCAAAGCCTTTCCCTTTCTCCCGGTGCTGCAGAGCTCCTGCCCACACAAACCCCTTCTGCAGCATCATTTTACACCAGCCCAAAACGTAATTGTCTTTTACACTTTACTCCCAGGTTCTGCAGGACACGTTGGGGTGTGCAAAGACTGATGAGCTAACAAGACAGCCATCAACTCCCAGGCTAATTCACAGCCATACAGGCTCTGAGGAGGCATTGCATTGGAAATGATGTTCATGGCAGGAAGCCATCCAAAACTCCCATTAAACTCCTCTGCACTTCAGCATGAGCTGATTTGTGTGGGAGCCGATCTCTTGACAACCTGTGACCTCCACACCCCCACCACCTCTGCTACACAAACCCAAGCTCTCACCACCCCAAATCCCCTCATTTTCCCATGAAAACCTCTGCTGTGCTGAGCAGGAAGTGCTGGAGAGAGGCCCCAGAAGGTTTGTTTTGTGTTTTTTTTTCTCCCCCAAAATAACCACACCAGACACAGGCTGGTGACCAAGGAGCCTTTACTTGATCTTGCCAGAGGGAACATGGTAGTCTGGCCCAGCCAAGCCTCCAAGACCACCCCCAGCATTCAGAGGGTGTGCAGGTCATCACTGACCCCTTGTGACACAGCAGAGGACTGGCAGTGGGCAGAGCAGCTGGGCCTCCCTCCTCCCCAGCATGTGTCACAAGATTGCTACAGTATGTAAAGAGTATCTGAACTAGTAAAAGGCATGTTACTAATTATAAAAAGCAATTGCAGGGGGGGATTGCTTAGAATGAGTTATTATCCAATATCTGAAGGTAAGATCAAAGAGACTCCCTTCCCAAAAGTCCTTAACAACCAAGTATTAGCCTTCATCTGCACCACACCAAAAAGCTTACCCGAAGTTGTGGCAAAAGATACAAAGAGAGAGGAAAATACCAAGCACAGAGCAACATGAGATCATCACCACTCGGGATGTAAGAGGGGAGGATGCAGTGTAAGAACTGGACCTTTTAGTAAGGTAGAGCTTGTTAGTTTTACTTCTCAGTTTATCTGAGATCTACTTTCTCTGTTCACAACAAAAAAAATACCTTCTGAACTCCTAGAGCTTAATTTTCAATTGAGCCAACCTGACAACTTCAATTTTAAACATGAAACCAAATCCAGTAGAAGTGTTCCTGTGCTGAAAAAACGATCCCATCTCTCAACTGCAATAACTAAGGTCCAATATGCTGCAATTGTTATTTTATTTTTCTCCTAACTGACTCACAGAACCACAGCTCAGGGTTTTCTCCCCTTCTTGCGCAGGGACTGGCCTTCTCCTGAGAAGGCAATAAACCGGCTTCCAGATTCATCCTGGAGAAAGGAAAGAGGGAAAAAGGTGGTTACCTCTTTGTTCACTGCTTGTGAATGATCAAAGCTGAACATTCCCCCAGATCAGAAACTGACTGTAGGTATTTCACATCCTTACATCTACATATTAACCACTTTATTCCTGAAAATTAAGTATGAACATTTCAGTGACATTTCAAGCACTGACTTATTAAACTTGTATGAGGCAAATCTTTTTTAAATCAGCAAGCAAGGACACTGGAGGTTGCATTCAGTTAACTCAAACCACTTACTAACTACTACCACCTTTTAACAGAAGTGTGCTGTGAAAAATCAAGTATGGAGAGAGGAACCACAAATTTGGACAGCAGTTCTATTGTTCTAATTCTGTGCAAAATTATGAAGCATCCAACTTTGTTTACCTCTTCGACTTTCTTAACCAGTGGACGCGAGTTTCTAATGAATGTGATTCTACCAATCTTGAAGTCATAGTTGGGAATTCCTCTGGAAAAGAAAGCATAAAAATACTATTAAATAATATTTATGCCTAACATCCAATTGAACAGTGAGACCTATTCTATGTCTGTCAGTATCGTACCAAACTGGCTGTAAATTTTCTTTACCAAATAATTCTAGAGTGAAACCACTGAACTATTTTCTGAAGGTTGGCACACACTGCATGAAGTAAATTATGAGATTCTAGAGCTGCTATAGAAGCTTGGCTGTGGGCAAGTTTCCACATAGCCTGTGGTTTCCACACGACCACGGACATGGTTTTCCACAAAGATTCAAGTTTTATTGTGACAGGTGTAAATGACAGAACACCACGGGAAGCACATCCCTGTGCAGTTCCAGTAAGCCTGACTTTTCTAAATTTCCCTCTAAGGAAAAAAAACAAACCACTAACCAACAAACCCATACATGGCTTGGCTTTGGTTATCCATCCAACTCAAAAAAGATTTTGCTCTACATCAAATTTCACTGTAGAAAACTGGCAGGGTTCTGTACATCACCAGATCCAGCCCAGTCTAGACCTGCTGCCTCTTCCTGCTTGTCTGCTATAGAACTAGAGTTGAATAAGTGAGTTTTGACAGCATTGATTTAGGATCTGCCTCTTAAATAATCAGGGACACCACAGTCCATCTAGAAGATTATTTCTTTTCTAAATGCAAACTTATGACAAAATTAGCTTGCTTATATTGCAGGAGCAGAAATAAAACCACAACAAACCTCCACTCAAACATGGATCCTTCACTTGCTGAGAACTGAACAAACGTACCTTCGAATGTCTCCTGGTTTGATTGGTGAGGGACTAGGCTCAACACCTTTCTTCTTGCCATCCAGTCTGTTCCCAGATCCTGAGAATGCCTATGTATAGATAACAAGTTTTAATTTAACTATATCTTGTATTTAAAAGCACACTGCACCAGGAAACTATATGCTGTAAAAGCTTACTACCATGTTTATTTAATTATATCATTCAGCATGTTTCTTTTTTGGTACATATGAGCTGATGAACCCTGGGTGTAAGAGCATGTTTCAGCCTCCCATTTATAGACTGCCCTTGTAAAGACAGCATATCAGAGAGTTCCTGGCTGTAGGCACCACAAAACATTGCCAGATAATGGCCACTTAAATGACCACCACCTCTAAGAAGAGGTACTAGTAATTCTGCAGTTGTTTCCAACAACTTTCCCTCACCATTTTACAACATTCAGAAACTAGCAGAAATAGGGAACTTACACGAAATCCTAAGTCACTCACATAACCACTGTGGTCTGCTTCAACATCCTGTGAGGGAAAAAAGAAGTCAGTTCACTGTGTTCATGTTGTGATATGCAGAACACAGCAAAACAGTTCCACATATTTCTGACTAAACAAAACTTCAGAACAATTCCTTTCCAAAATCAACCAGTAGTAAACAACCATCTCCAAAGTACCACAAGCAAAAACATGTGGTAAGTAAAGTTTAAAGTCTTAAGAAATTGTTTCAGGAAAAAAGAATGTTGGTGATCACTACTCCAACAGAAGCAAGATTTAAAAGGAATATATTATTGAAGAACAGAAAGTTAACCTACTGCAGTCTCTTCATGTTGTGCACTTCTTTCTGGTTCTTTGTACCCCAAAGGAGCATCAAAATCCACCTATTTACACAAGAAGCATGAAAGTAAGCTTTTTTTTTAAATCTTAATCTTTATACTACCGTCCTACTTTATACTACTATTCCTCAAAACTCCACATCTATCACTCCATTTTGATCCAGAAAAAAACAGAAAAAACTGAGGTTTGCTTGTTAAACATTTAAACTCAGAACTAAAAAGACTAAAGCTCCCAATAATAAGTCTTAGTGTGTAACCAAAATAGAACAGTAAAACAGAGCCCCACAATAACCTTATTAATGTCTATAAATACCTGAAGGATGGATGTCAAGAATGAGCCAGTCTCTTTTCAGTGCTGCCCTGTGATAGGATGAGCACCAAGCTACAACACACGAAGTTCCACCTCAACATGAGGAGAAACTTATTTGTTGTGAGAGTGACAGAGCCCTGGGACAGGCTGCCCAGAGAGGCTGTGGAGTCTCCTTCTCTGGAGGCTTTCAAGACCCATCTGGACACGTTCCTGTGTGATCTGCCCCAGGTGTTCCTGCTGCAGCAGGGGGGTTGGACTTGAGAGGGACTGGACCTTCAGAGGTCCCTTCCAACCCCTATGATTCTATAATTGTATGAGTAACACTGGAGTTTGAATCCAGACAAGGCTGCTAAATTAAACTCAGATCACAAAACATGTTGAAGCAAAACATTAAATTCTAGGCACTACAGTCACCTGATGGTACATAAAGTTGCAGTTCAAGACTACAGATGTGGTACATGGGGCACTCTCAAATGACTCAACTTCACTATTCCATCCAATTTTTACCTCTCCTGTGGTATCAGAGGTGGTTGGTGTACTGAGCTACCACTGAATGAGATGCCCTCTCTTTTTGGGAGGACACAGTATAGGCAGAGTTTCCATATCAGCTCTCACTTACATTCATATCACATTCTATGATGGACACAGCCTTGTCTGGTTTGGTCTCCATTACTCGAAGCTCATAGATCTGAAACAGCAATGAATATTTTAAGATTGCAGATGAAAGAGCTCAACTTGTACATTTAAAAAAAAAAACACAACGAAAAAAGTGTATTTAAACGTTTCCCTTCAGATAACCTCAAGAAAATTGAAGTGCTCTTTACATTGAAGACTGTCTACTGCAGGCTCTCTACAGAACTTGAGAGCAAATATTTTCAACTCAAAAGGTTGGTATGTGCTGCAGCCAGAGAACCTACCTTTTACCATACCTTAACCTGCATTTTTGGAAAACAAATTATTAATTTAGGATGAAGCCTGTCCCTTGACTTGTAAAAACATCAACAGCACAAAAATTTACTTTCCCCAGAGTCAAAAAAAAGCAGGTCTGGAGACTTCACTGATCCTTTTTTAGCTCCAACACAAAACAGATAATAAAATCTACCATCTGGTAGATTTTCAACACCACTGCACAGCTCTGTGTTGATTGTTTTAGCACCAACATCCAAAAACTGAGCTTAGTCTACAATCCCAAGTGATCAAATGTGCACATGTGCTGCCAAGAATGCTCATCTATAAAATCTATTCACAAGACGTAGTCAAAGGCTTTAGGTGGTCACAGTCCACTGAAATACAATGTACTTTTTTACATGGGGCAGATTTTTTTCCTCAAATTGATGGTATCCAAACAAAACTTTTATGAAGTGGTGTTGTATACTGTACCTTTTCATTGTAGTTGATGGCAATAACATCCCCAGTAGTTAGACAAGCAAAGTTTCTCAATGCATTTTCCAATCTTCAGAGTATGTTAAGATGAAAAATTTGTTTGAAATGCAACATCAAATCTTTAGAGTTACTATGTTATACAACTCTGACCCTTGCTCTCTCAAACGTGGTTTAAGTCATCACTACTGTAGACAAGACATTAAGACATCTCTGTATATTTTGTCCCATACTCCATAATTGAACAGGAAGGATACACAGCCTTGGGATTGGTGATGTCAAGAAAATCTGGACTCTGTGGCTGAAATTTTGAGTAAGTAGCAACTTGAAGATTAACACTCTCCACTTGGACAAGGCCTCCCTCTTCCAGCAGCAAGTTCTGCATCATCTGCAAGAACGGAAACAAAGATACAAACCACTTATCAACATGACTGATGTTTTTAAACCTCTTTGCATATACCTGTTTTTGTTGGGGACACCATCTGCCTTGAAATGCACCAGTTTACCATGGTTTAATTTCAGGAAGAACAGTCAGGTGCATCTTAAAAAGTAGCCTGCTTTACTTAGTTAAACTCTCAAGGAGGAAAACCTGAGCTGTGACTGAAAGCTGTTTTGGGAAGATGACTAGTGAAGACAAGCACTCTCAGGAAACATTCTGCCTCTTTAATATTAAACTGGCACCTCAGTAATGCTACTCTTCAGGTTTTGACAGTTCAGCATGAGACAACTCACCCAGTGTGGAAGGTAACATATGCCCTCATCAGCCACAAATTCAAGCACCCCACAGTGTGTCATTCGGTCTGAATTTTTGTTGGTCAGCTTAAACAGCATTGGGTAGGTAATATTAAGTCGGCCTGGTGAGAAAGAAGAAAAAAATGTGTTTGTTTAAAGCCACTAAGACATTTCTGAAGCTTTTCCAGATTAAAGGTTTTAGCAAGAGACTGGGCCAGTCTACAGGAGAAGATTCCTGCCACACCATCATTCCAACTGCTCAAAACTACAAATCCAAGAGAGAATGCAGACACACTAGTGCTGTATTGCCACCACATTAAGAGCTTTAGATGCTCCTCCAACGTTTCCCCAAGCTCAAAGATGAGCAGACAGTAGGTACTGGCAGAAGAATTTCTTAATGTTATGTCCTTATGCTATTATCAGTTAGCTTCCACCTAACAGATTATAATTGGCCCTGCCTATTTTAAAATTAAATCCTGACTAAACAAATTCTATTAAGGCAAAAAACTCAAGTTAAACTCTTAGTTAAAAAGGCCAGTAAAGACCATTTAACCTATTGATTGAGTTAGCCTTTTCACCATTTCAAAGCTACCATTTATTTTGTCTTTAAAATTAATTTTACTCCAGACAAGAGCATCCAAGAAAACCAGGTTGAGATTAAGAATCTATTGGATTAACTGTAACCATTATACTGAATATTCTATTTATAGTTAATACATATTGATTCATGCCTCAGGGAGCCCAACACTTCATACATCTGTACTTGAAGGCAGACAAGCCTCTTTAATTCTGACAAAGTACTTCCAAAATGCACTTTTTGAACTAATTAGTCTCATATTCTTTATTTAAGTTAGATTTTCACAACTAAAATATTGTGGTATTTACTTATGCATTTGCTCATATTCTAATGTTGTTTTTCCAGAATAAAATATTCACTTACTGAGTTGATCCAAAGCTGATGGTGGCATAATTACTGCAGAAATGAATAAGAACATAAGATTAGCAAAAATATGACTGCACAAAGAGCACACAGCATACAATTTTATCATTCCTTTCTCAAAAATTGCCCTAATAAAGGACATTCTAAGAAAGCTTCTTCAAAGTAATTTTTATGCAAGAGATGTCAGTAGAATCAATGATGACAAATACAGGAGTTTGCACAGAGATTTCAGAATTCAATCAGAATAAAATGATAAGGTTTTATAATACCTAGTGATAAGGTAAGATAAATAAATAAAACATTTCCTAAAGGTAGTTTTATTTGTTTGGGCTTTATTGTTGCTCTTACATCGATACCAACTCAAAACAACACAGCACTAGTCTTACAGCATGAAAATTAAACTGGCAAATCTATTCCCTTTGTCCAAGCCAAGTGAGGTACAACGAGGAGGGGGGGAAAAAGTCCTTCATCATAAGTTTCCATGGCTCATAATGGGGCTAAGATTTTAACAAAAGCCCTCAAAAAAAGAAGAACGTATTTTTCTAACGCTCATAAACAAGGACTCGCTCGGTGAGTTTTTTAATTACACATCAATGACCTAAAAGCTCCCTTCCTTCGTAAAGCCCCACCCAGGGAGCTCTGCCAGCTCCGCCCAGGAAGCACAGAGAACGTCTAAATGCTGCTCGAAAAGGTTCCTGCAGCCAAAGTTGCACTGCTTGGCATTATTCACAAACACTCTCCCAACAGGTTATTAGTCAAAATAAAACATGCACATACTCTTCCCGCCTTTCTCCACATCTGACCTGTCATTAGGACCGGCAAGCATGGACACCGAGAAGCAGCGGTACTGGGTGGAGAAGCGGTTCTGGAAAACCCGCGGGATGGGGTGGTCGAACATATTGAAGGAGAACTGGGGGAGAAGGAACACACAGAGGGTGTTAATAGGTACCCAGAGGGTGCTGGAGTGAAAGCACCGCCTGAACTCTCAGCCAGACCGAAGCTGAGCTGATCGGCGCCGGCCCCGCCCGGCCGGGAACCCCGGCCCGGCCCGGG